CTCGCCATGCAGCTCCGCTTCGCGGTCCCGGACCAGGCGCGCTCGCTGCCGCCGCCGCCGCTGCTCAACTTCCCCTCCGTCTGGACGGCGGGCTGCTTCTGGCTCAGCGCCCTGCTGGACAACGGCATCAACCGCAGGCCCGTCCTGCGAGCCGGTCAGTCGCCTGGGCGCGATGGAGGGCTTAGCTATGCGCTGGGTCGCTATCCCGGCTTTGGGCCGAGGCACGCAACTGACGCCCCCCCTCATTCCCCCCCACAACAACCCTGTGAGGTGGGTCGGGTTGAGGGAGACAGACCTTCCAAGGTCACGCCAACGGGGCTCTCTTAGCCTCTTAGACCAGGCCCAATCCCATAATAATAATAATAACAAATTAATATATTATTATATTAAGCTGCCCTTCCGGCAAAAGGCTGATGGAGATTCTCAGCCATCCAGGCGGAATCGTCTGCAGGTCGAGTCGTGGCAACTGGACTTCTTATTTTGCTCTGATGCGTTTCGCTGCTTGTCCAGGCGGCTTCTTCGGGGATCAGGAGCAAGACATCCGCATCCCAAAGACTCCACTAATCACATCTCTTTCAACGAGCCCATCGTGTTCGTGAGGAACGCAGCCGCCCTCGTAGACCTTTATCGGGTCCCCCAACCGGCTTTCTAGACTGAAGAAGCCGCTTGGGCAAGCAGCGAAACACATCAAGCCAGAAGAAAAGAAGTCCAGTTGCCACGACTCGACCCCCAGAGAGCACCGTTCAAAAGAGACGATACAAAATCTAGGCAGGAAACCCATCCAGACTAGAGCACGTCCCTCCCGCAGCCGACACTCGGATAAGCAGGGATCGGCGCCAGACACACCGTCAGACAGAAAACAATCCCCAATCAAGGAACCACCAAGGCGGAAACCTCACTCCCACCAACACTGTTGGGGCAAAGTGACTATATGAACCGGGAGCAAACCCCACCTCACCGGCACCGATGATGTTCCCTAGTTGGGTCACGAAACGTCTGCAAGCAAACAGCCGAGCTCAGAGAGAGCACCAAGGACTCCAGTGCTCCCTTTTTTAAATTATGGTGCGCTTGTAAAGAGCGTCTGGCCTTGATGCGTTTCGGCTGGGGTTGGAGGTGCTGGTCAGCCAGTATGCAGGGATGGTCTGCCAGGAGGGAGCTGAGGAAGGGCAGACCCGCTGTGGGGTGAGGAGAGGAGGAAGGGGTCTCTGGGGATTCAGTGGGAAGAAACAGGACGGATTTAGCTGTTTCAGTCCAGGCGGAGTTCGGCTTCTCTTCTTCACGCCTTTCCTTGTAGGCATCACCACAGTGACAACCACGTGGGCATCTGCCGTGCACCATTGGAAGTGCTGCTTGTGGAATTCGGGGCCGGCTGTTAAACTTCTCCTTTGCTCTCTTGAATCTTTCCAGGTCTCCATCGTCAAGTCCTGATGGCCACTCTGGGGTTTTGTTTGGGCTACTACCTGAAGAGATATTCCAATTACTACTACGCCGAGCGGGACAGAGAGCTTTTCAGTTACGTAAAGGAACATCCCGAGGACTTTGTGAAAAAAGGTACTTTGGTGTTAAATGCCGTCAAGAAGAGCTGTGCCCGTGCGTAATGTGTGGGACCGGCTCGCGTTCGGGAGAGGAAAGCAGTCGCTTTCTGGGGCAGATGGGGTTATTCTTCCTGAGTTGCCCACAGCATGGATGTGATACAGACCCCAGATACTTCCTCAAGCGAGTTGGGACAAAGCCTTCACAAATCTATAAAAATGCCCCAGGTGACAGCTGCAGGCAGGGTGGTCAGTGATGAGGATGCTGGAAGTTATACTTCAACAACAGCTGGATTCCTCTTTGCTCTGGGTTGTCCAGGGTCAGGAGTGTGTGGAGTTGGAGAGATAATTTTATCTCAGGTCTCAGAATCTGAGAATTGGGGGGTGGGTGGGTTATACCATTGATTCCGTCTTGATTCTTGGCGAGTGCATGGACATGTTCATGCATATTTTCTTGGCAACGTTTTTGGAAGCGGTTTGTGCTTCTTCCTAGGGCTGAGAGAGAAGGACTGGCTCAAGGTCGCCCAGTTGGCTTTCATGCCTAAGGCAGGACTAGAACTCCCCGTCTCCTGGCTTCTAGTCCAGCACCTGAACCGCTACACCAAACTGGCTCTCAGCAGGCCAGGCCGCTTCATGGGCGTGTTTATCAGCCCCTCTAAACAGGGCTACAATCATGCAGGACCAAGGAATTCTGCTTTTCCAAGAACAGTTTGACTTAGAGTTGACCGTAGACCTCCTTAACAGAAGCTCTTTCAGCCCTTGCTTGCTTCAAATCTCTTTAAGCAAGTACTGAAAAAGAGAGGCAACCGCAAAGATGCAGGAAGTTGGTGCTATTCCTTGTTCATGGTTTCTGAATAAGCTTTATGAGCAGGATGATTTCTTGTTTTGGTAGAACCAAGAAAGGTGGGAGATATTCTGGAAGACTTCGTCCCAATTCGCTGAAGACTGTGAGCAGATCCTGTCTTATTCATGGCGTCTTTCCATGCTACTCTTGCGCGTGGAAGCCTTCGGGGTCAAATTGCCTGCTGATAGATGTGGATTGTATCCTTTCTCATTAAAGCTATATGAAGGTACACTCTGCCTTTTGCTCTTGGTGTACTCCCGGAAACGGGGGAGAAGACATCTGGGAGATCTGGCGTAAATAATGCGCAGAATTTACCACTGCGGAAAGTGGGAATCCCTGGCGTTATCTCAACCCCATGTTACGCTAAATGATTTCTGTCAGTGGGTACTGATCGTGAAGAGACTAATCACTGAATAACAGCTCCTGTGGTGCAAAGGGTTGGGAGGAGATTGCAAAGCAAAGGGATACCATTTTGGCAGCCTGACATCCCAAAATGGGTCCCGTAATCTTTCACCTATTGGAAGGTGCTCCAGTATCCAGTCGGCAGAGGCAACTCTGCATCCATTTGGAGGATCTACCTGCTGAAAGGTGTGTTTTTCTGGCCGGTCAGAAGGAACTTCTTAAATCAAGGGGTCAGTCTGTGACTTGGCTCAGCCCCGGAATGGTTTGGTTTGGTTTGGTTTGGTTTGGTTTGGGTATCAACCCCCTTAGTGTCTATGAAGGATGCTCTGAACGCTGGAGCTGAGCTGCCTCTGAGCGTTCGTCTGGTCTCCCGGTGTTGGACGAGGCAGGGCAACGTGGCCCCAAAGGGTTTCAGACCGGTTTCTCCCTCTCCACCTCACTCCATTCTCCCTTTCCAGACCCGGGGGGGGTCTTCTCAGAAAGGGTTGGGCTAGGAGCAGGGAGACCTAGGTTCGAGTCCTCCCTCACTGGTGACTTGGGGCCCCCCTCAGCCCAGCCTACCTTGCAAGATTGTTGTGTGGAAAACTCAGCACTGCACACATCCTCTTGAACTCCTGAATAGGAAACAGAATGTACAGCTAATGGAGTTTGCATCGTGCCAACAAGTTGAGATGAGGCCCCGGATGATACAACGGGACTGAAAAGCTAAGCGGTGCCTGACATCACAAGGGGGCACGTCCGGCTCCTCAGAAGCTGTGGATTTTACCGCAGCGAGAGGCAGGGCCATGTCTGGCTTGGAAAGCTTTGGAAATGGCGTAGAAATGCACAGGATGTCATGGATATCAGTGGCTCTTCATCCCGGTGGTTCCATAGATCCCCACATCCAGGGGAGTCTTTCCACAAAAGCCTTTCTCTGGGAAAAGTCAGGGGAGCTTTCTGGTGGGATCGGCTGGCCTTCCTTGGCCCCCGGGGCCTGGAGGTTAGAGCTTCAGTCCGGTCCCCTCAGCAGGCGGCTCCAATTGTCCTCGCAGGCCTTTTAAAACTGGATTACAGGCCTTTTGGTGGCATTTCAGCTTAGCGGAAAAGCAACCGTTGCACGCAGAGGGCCTGGAGAAGTGATCATCGACGAAGACCCAATATCCAAGTGCTCAGGAAGACCCCAAGCAGGGTTTCCCACAGTCTATTAAGGCAGGGTTTGCTGGGCTATAGTTTGCTGATTAAGCCAACATGTCACACTAAGCCTTCAGCTGCACAATCCAACCACCGGATGGTTTTGCACGTGTGACTCTGTAAAGGAAAGCTGATTTGGGTATGATGGGACTTGGCTGATCTCAAGAGAAACTAAGCAGGGTTTCAGACTTGGGTTCGGACACCTTGGTTAGAGCCCAGAAATCCCAAGGCTGCGGGCTGGACTGGGAAGTTGAGGGTCCACCCCAGAAGACGAGAGCAGATCGCCATTGCTCAGAAAGCTTCAGGAAAGTGTCCTGAAGTCTCAACCCCCAGAGGTCAGCATCACTCCGGGGAAAGAAATTACATTTCTTCCTTAATTCACGTCTCAGCTCTTCTACTTGAATCACCTGATAGAAAAATTATGTTTGGGTCCTTAGAGACAGGCCCGGATTATGACCTGCTAAGGCCTTAAAACTAGGTTAATAATAAATTGTAATTAAAAGAGAAGTAATGGTGGTTTGTATTCTTTCATGTATCCCTGGCAGAAATGCAGTGAAGATCTAGTCATCCAACAAAAAGTGTTATCTTGCAAAACCCCCTCTGTGTGTTAGAAACACCTTCTAACAAAAATATTTCAGGATTCCTTGAACATTTTCAGTGATGCTAATGTGCAAAAATAAAAGAAGAACAGTTGCACAAAGGCCCTGCAACCCCCCACTGTGTTAGTTTTGCATCTCATGGAGAAACAAAACCTTTTCTTTCCCAATTTCTGGATGCTGAAGTAACCAGAAATTACGAAGGAATTTGCACCAGGCGTGCATGAAAGCAAGGAATTGCCACACGTGTGTTGCAGTTGTGTCATTTTCTTTTACACGAGTTCCAGTCACGAAAAAGGTCTGGCCCCTTTGCTCTTTAATCTGTTGGTGGAGCATCTTCCAACCTTCTCCAGCCTCTCCTTCCCCTGTTTCCTTCGACATACCTGGAAGTTTTCCTCCTAGAGGGAGCATCATCTGGTAAAGCAACCCTGACTTAGAGTCATCACACGCTCTCAGTGGTTTTCTCCATTTCTCCTTTATCTGCTTCAACCAACGGTGTGGACCGTGAAAGCCCCTCTTGTCGCTGTTCTTCTGAGGCCTCTTGTGCGAAGCCCTCGGATCTCGGCTGCCTCGTGCAAGCCTCAGTTTCCACCGATTATCCCTTAGCAGGGAGATGTGGTTACTGTGGTCCAGGGTGACCAGGCGTTGGGTGGGGGGGTGAGGCAAGCCCCGCCCCTTTTGTACGTGCGTTGTGATGTCACAGAGCTTGCAGTGCAACGACACCAGGGCGCTTTTGTCGTGTTGACGGAAGGGAGCTCCTGCAGATTCCCCTGCTACGGTCATTAGGACGCCCGGCTCGATGCATCTGGAGGAGGCCAGGTTGGGGAAGTGCGGCCTAATGGGTTGAGCCGTTCCTCGGTGGACTGACTGCAATGCCCATAAGGCACCATAGCGAAAAGGCACCCGGCCCCACAGACCTTGAGACGAGGTCAGGATTAGGAAATCGGGATGCCTGAAGCAATGGCTTAAGACTTCTGGCCAGCTTCCACTTGACGGTCAACGGCGCGATTGTTTTAAAAAAAGAAAAGCGACTGGGACAGCTCCAGACTGGAATGAAATGGTTTATTTTTGGAAGCCCGACTGCCACAGATGGCCTTTGGGCCAGAACGTCGCCTGCTGAAAAGGGTCCCGCCTTTGTCTGGAGAGAGATCTCTGCCCCGAGCGGAGGCTGCCAGGGGGTTCTCCGACGCTGTCCAGCCTGAAAGCAAATTGGGGCAAAGATGCCCAGTCAAAACCCCGATGATCTTTTTTCTCGATCTTATGGATTAAGGATGGTGCGGTTTTAGCCCTGTGTCTGCAGGAGGATTAGCAGGGAACACTGCAGCCGAGAGCCCGTTTGGGGTTCTGGTGACGGAGCTCGACCGGCCCCCGGGAGACCGTCAGTTCCAGTCCCCTGCAGGGCTGGCGTTCCCTGGAGGCTTTGGGCCGGTCAGGCCCTCCCTCTGTGCCCCAGACCCGTGCGGCGTAGTGGGGCAGGGGCCGTTTAGCAGCGGGGAGACCCACTTTCTGCTCAAAGAGTAGGGGAGATGGTAGGTCTCGAAACTGCCGGCCCTTCGGGTGACTTTCCAGAATAATTTTGCTTCTCTGGTGGATGCTCCGGTCTGGGGAGAGCAGCTGCCTGCAGTGTTGGGTGTGGGGGGGGGGGGTGCCGAGGTGGCAGGGTCTCCCCCCCCCCCTGCCAAAGGCCTCAAGAAACGGATTTGAGTCTGAGCTCCGCACGGCCTGCGCCCTCCTCCTCGCCCCACTTCCGAGGCCCTTCCGGGGGAAATCCTCCAGCTCGGCCGGGGTGACTCGAGCCCCGTTCGGTGGCAGGCAGAGCCGGCCCTGCCCCCCCGGCCCTGCCCACTGACTTCAGGGTCCATTGGCAGGGCTGCCCTGCTGCGCTGGGCATCTGGGAAGAGGTCAGAAGAGTCAAGATGGTGGCTGTGAACTATGGTGCAAAGAAGGGAATCATTATGGGGGATATTAAGTATTAATGTAAATTACCCATTTTTAAAAGGCATTTTCTTTCTCCACAAATAAAAGAAATGACACAATATGTTTCCCTCTGGCACAGATTTTCCTAATCTTTTCCAACCATAGAGATTGTTTCTTTCTCATTTGCAATTTCCATATTTTCTTCAGGTCTTGATAAACGAGGGATATGCCTAGAGTGCCACAATTTTCTTTCTTCTGTTTTGCTTGTCCTTGTTTGTTGTGAACCACCCTTTTTAATGCGCACTGCAGGTTGAAAAAAGGGACAGGGCTTTGATTGCAAGGTCACAGCCGCCATCCTGACTTTTTTGACCTCCCCACCATGAAAACACCTGCACCCCGCCCCAAAGCCAGCTCTCCCCCGCCTCTGGCCAACCCTGGCGATGCAGAATGAGAGAACGGGAGAGGAGAGGAGAGAAGGGGGCTCCCTTGTGGCCAGTTCTCATTCCCACAGAGTGACCTGTTGGATGGGGGACCAACAAGATACCCTCTCCCCTTCTTTTCTCCACCCACCAGTCTTGACCGAGAAGGGGGAGGTTTCTCTCCTCTCCTGCCAGCCTGGTTGCAGGAGGACAGCAGCTGGGAGGCCGTGAGCCGTTGGCAAGGCAGAAGCCTGGAGCAAATCCGGGCGTGGAGTGGGGGTCCCCTTGGTTTTGCCAGAGAAGAACTCCTTGTTCAGGCTGGGCTGCGGGAGGACCCTCCAAAGCCCTAGAAGGAGAAGAGGAAGGCCTGCAGCAAAGCAGGAAGGGCAGAGTACAGTATAGATGTCATGAATAAATGTCCTGTGAGGCTTGGGTATAAACCATAATAAAGGTAGTTTAACAGCAATAAAACACATGTTTACATTCCAAAATAACTGCTACAGTTAAAGACGCCACTGACAATAGAAGGAGCTCATCGTCCTTCCAGATGGACCCGGGTTAGCGCTTAAAGCATAAGGAGCCCCGGACGTTCAGGCCCAGGCATAAATAAGAACGCCGTGAAGTCCGATTCAGTGCTTGAAGAACTCGGGCTGTCGTCCGTCCCCCGTCCAGCCGGGGAACATTTCTCCGGCAGCCTCCACCGTTTCTTCCCGAGGAGAGACGTTCTGGGATTTGTTCTGGGAAGGGAAGATAATTGGGAAAGTTAGACAGTGCCGGTCCCAGCACGCCTGCGTTCAGAGGGGAGGTTAAGGGGCTGGGGAACGTCCTAACCCAGTTAATGGACCTTGACAACTGATCGGAGGGATGATGGTTGCAGCCCGGCATGGAAGTCGGGGCAGAAAGGGGTGGAGTGGGGGAACGTCTGGGGGGCTGCCCCTGAAGACAGGATCCCGCATCTTCCTCACCACACAATGGCAGTGTTCACGTCACAGTTTGTGCCCAAACAATTAAAGCACACAACAGCTTAATGCGATGCCCAGATCACGGCACGCGACTGCAACGAGCCGGCCTGCACACCACTCATCCCCCCGTCTAGCACGTTGTGCGAACACAGCCTCGCTGTGCGTTCGTGTGACAGTAGCTGAAATTCCCAGACGTGCAAAGACGGGCATTTCTAACTGCGCTTGGTTTTTATTTCCCTCTGCTGGAGTCGCTGTCCCCTTTGTGCCTCCGCTATGGATTGCTGATAGCGAATTTCAGATTATCGGCCTGGAAAGGAAATTTGCCCAAAGAGGAATTCAGCCCCAGGGCTGGGGAGAGGTTTAAAAGCGGGTCTTCCTGGCTCACCTGCTCCCAGTCTGGGGGCAGGGGTGTCAAAAAATTCAAGATGGTGGCCACAACCATGTGATTGAAGCCCCATAAGCCAGGCTACCACTAAAGAAGAATGGGATCGTTCCCCCCCCCGCCCCCGGACACAGCTGGTGGCTGCCCTTGTAAGTTGAATCTTTCTGAAGGGCAGAAACGTTTCCTAAAGGTTCGTAGCCAAGGGGGCTCTTGAGAATGGCTTACCTTGACAGCTTCGGGCCTGAAAGGTCACCACCGAAGGGGAATTTCACTCTGGTTTATCTGCCGCAGGATTCCGTTATATTTGGAGGTCACGTCGTTCGCCGCTTGGGTCAGCCGCTGGAGGACCTGACGCAGGGCAGCTACGTGGTAAGAAAAGAGACTCTGCAGGTCGGCGTTGTCTTTGGCACCCGGGTCTCTCCGGGGTGGGGTGAAGCTGGCCAGCCGGTCGCCAAGAGGCGCTAGACTGCCCTCCACCAGGAATCGGATGGACTTCAGCTGGACATAATATTCATAGAGGTCTTTGTCACCGTCTGACTGGCCCCCAAAGCCGTCCTCCTGCTCCTCGAAGGAGACCCCGCGGAGGAGGCTGGGGAACATCACCGTCTGCTCCATCTTGAGGATGGCGGAGAAGTACTTTTCCAT